ATAAAATGTACAAAACGATATTATGTCCATTTGAAAAAAAATAATAATTTAAGGTTATATAGTAAACTGAATTGAAAGAAAAATCAAATAATACTGGTTAAAAATTATAATGATTTCAATAAAACAAAAACAAATACTTATTTAAATACTAGGTGATTTTTTAAGAATATACCGGCTTATTCGCGGCCAGCATTATTTGATAAAGTACCAATGAACAAAAAATATAGGGATATCTGCTTTTTACTACGCAGTTAAGACTACATTTACGACTTCTTTTTTCACTTAGACGTATAAATATGAAGAAACCTGAATATAAAATGGCCTTAGTAGACACTAGATCAACATATCTTAGTTATATCTTAAAACATAAATGCAGTGTCCATATATTTTTATTGTAATTGTGTAATCCAGTATTCGTCTTGCTATTATTTTGTAAATTTGGTATTATTTAGTTAGTTTTATATAATTGTCAATTTAAAAAATTGCCCTATCTTCAATAAGACAAACAATCGTTTCAAGAATTGGTAATTCAATGTAGGAGATCAAAGGAATGATCATAAAGTATTTCATAATAAAAAAACAAAACACCAAAAGTCCTGACAGTACTATTTTAAATTTATAACAAGCTAATTAACAATAAATGAGTCTATATAAATAAGTAACGAACAGAAACAATAAATATTGCAAAACAAATATCTCTTTAAACAACATTACAATTTATATTAAATATTATGTTTTAATATAATCAGAACTCGCCGTTTCGATAAAGTAGGAAATATGGAGATTGGGATAAAATAAACATTTATTCAAATAATTTTTCTAAAAATAAAACAGAGGCATATTCTAAATTGATTTTATATTTCTGAGATAAAAATCATAAATTGTAAAAGATTTCAATACACTGAAAGGTAATTTCACATTTATAAACCGTATCGTTTTTTATATATTATAATTGTTAATTATATATACAGTCATTATACTAAAATTGTATACATTTTTTATTATTGAGAATATTTTTACTAACAGCTATTTTAAAATATACTCCTGTATTGAACAAAAATTGCAAAACTAGCAATACACACATTTTTTTCGTGCAAATTCTAGTGGTTTGACGTTCAAAGGATTAAGCTTTTTGTAGTAAAAAATATTTCTAGTCCGTTGGCAAACGATTTAATACATTCATGTATGAGGTTTGAAGTTTCTAAGTCTGCAAATAATGACTTTTGTTTTGAATAAAACAAACATTTTCTGTGTATATAGCACAACTGCCCTCAATTAAACGTCGAGTTTTGAATAAGCGGTACTAACTAAAAAGTTATAAGAAAATTAGAAATTAATTAAACAAGCTAAAAAATGTCTATATTATATCAGGAATGTTTTCTAAATTTTCGCAAAATAAAAAAAACATATATTTATATCCCATTAGCTTTAAATGGCGCACTTTAATTTAGGATTGGTCACCGGCATTGCTAAAATTCTATCTCAATGCGTTCCAGATGACTCTACCAGATCAGAGTAATATAGTAAGATGGGGTAAAGGTACCGAAAAAACTTGCTATATCTGTGGAAAGGCAGTTGGAACAGCTAAGCATCTGCTGGTGGGATATAAGGTACTCTTGGACAGCGGTCAATACTCGCGTCGTCACGATAGGGTTCTAGAAATCATACGTGAAGCGGTTAGTCTTTCGGTAGCCAGAGCGCAAAGAGAATTAACCACAAACGAACGATCAATAGGTTTTGTACGAGAAGCCACTGGGGCTATAAAATCAAATGTCAAGCCTTACTCCATCCTTAAAGCGGCGTCGGATTGGACTATAATGATGGACACGTATGAAAAACAATATAAAATCCCATACGATATTTGTGCGTCGGCCTCCAGACCGGATATTTTTTTGTTTTCGCGTATTTTAAAGCGCGTAGTGATGATAGAGCTTACGGTTCCTTGGGAAACCAACATCAACAAAGACCATACCATCAAGGTAAACAAATACAATTACGAGCTCACAAACTCACTAGAAATAGGTTCGCAGTAGATTTGTACGCGGTAGAGGTGGGAGCGAGAGGTATAACAGCGAAATCTCTCTACAACCTACTAAAAGACTTGGGCTTGTTCAGAACTCACATTAATATATTCTTGGAACGTACATCGAAGGCAGCCTTAGTAGGTTCTTTTCAAATTTGGTTAGGTAGAGAGAGGAGCTTGGACAGTGGAGGTGAGCGTATAACGCGCGTTAGTTAAGGGGCCCCTTAAACCTACACCTGGGTCGCAAGTCCCAGGCACTGTTGAAGCTTTCTCCCTGCAACGCGATGAACCCGGCACCCGCACGGTGAATCCATGGAATGCTGAGAAGTTTTGTCTCTTAATATCAATCCTTGATCAAAGTTAACTTATGCAATCTCTTATAAAGATCTCTTTATATTTTATATATGATGTGTCTACTTTTTAATAATAAATTCATATTTTTACTTTTAAGTTTTTATATATATATATATATATATATATATATATATATATATATATATATTTTATTCATCAGTATAAATCCGCTTTTTCGTAATAGTTTAAGGTTTAACAAAATATCTGTAAAATTTTTCATATCAAAAGACATTTTTTCTCCTATAATAACGCAATATAATTACTAAAACTACTGTTCGTGCCTCTGAATTTAATTATTTTACGTTTTATGTATTCTTTTCAATATTTCTTATGAGTAAACCACATTAAAATAGTATTCATTGTAATGATGTTATCTAAAGGAACTCTTACATTCATTATACTATCTTCTTAATATATCCATGCCTACTAAAATAACACAGTTATAAATACTAAAATTTTGTTTAGGTACCATCAGTTATGATTTTGGAATTTTTAGACAGTAGGTACTTTATTTAATATTTATTGGGTAACATTTCGTCTATAAGTAGGTACATGATCAACAAAACTCATTCTCACAACTCTTGTGTTACGAAAACGCACTCATGACGTCCAAATATACATAGGGTATGTTCTATAATACTGAAATTTAGGCTTTTACATATAATTGAAAAAATAATTATAATTGTTTTATATATAGTGTTAAAAATCTTAGCAGGTTCGATCACAAACAATATCGTAAATACTAAGTAAAATGAAAACAATAATAGATTTGAAATCTAGCTTTACAACCGAGATATTCCATTACAATATCCTTTACTAATAAATTTAAACTCTGAATTTAACCACCATAAATTAATTATCTCCCAACTCTACTGTATGAATTAAGCGCAGTGCGTTGTATGTTTGAATAAATATTGGTTCCTACGAACGGCTGTATTGACAGAGACTGAATATATTAACTTGGACCATTGTGGAGATTCGCTTCAAGAGTTGAAATAGTCTCTCATGCTGAGATTAGTTGGGAACTCGGTTATGGGACTTCGCTAAGATTTAATTAATATTTATATTCAATTATTCAGCACCGAGGCGATCACGCCGTTCGCTGTATCGAAGAAATTTATTCATCAAACGAACATATTAATTGGGTTGATATTAAAATACATAATATATTATATTCGTTACTAAAAAAAAATTATGTGCATTTCATAGTAATTGTATATAAGCATTAAAAATTATGATATTAATAGGTTTGTTATCTTCAATATAAATTTTTCAAAATATAGGTCATGATACAATTGTGTTAAAGTTTTCTTGCTTAAGAAAGATAAATGTTCACTGTTTTTTAACGGCGGTTTAAAATTTAACTTTACGCTTTTTGTATTTGAAATAGTTTTAGACACTAGTACGTAGACAAAGAAATATATAATTTATATATATATATATATATATATATATGTAGGTATTATCAATTGATTCTTTTAAAAATTAATAATCTTTTATGGTAGTGTTACTAGCTTTAGTATTATTTATATTGCTAGTGATTTTGATTGAAACTTTGAAGGAAATTCAGTATCAATGTTTGAGAGATAAGTTCGATTATCATTTTATTATACTAATGATTGTAATTGATGAATCTATGTAGCCTTCAAATATCAATAATAATTACCATAAAGCCTTTGTAACTAAATATACTGCTGTGGTGCTATGCTATAACACACACAAGAAAGTAAGGGAGTGAATTTAACACATACATAGAGGAAACTTTAATTTTTTTTAAATTTAGTATCTAATATATAACTATATCAATATAATTATTTAAATAAAATAATCATACAGGTTAAAATGTTTATTATATTCACACCACACACTAAAATATATGTCTCTTAAATTAGAATATTAATATATCTTCTTATAAAATTTGAACACACTTGTCTAAATTTGAATAGGTCTATGTTTGAAAAATATTTTATTTAATAAAACTTCCTAAGTAAATATTGCTTTCACATTAATTATAATTATATACATACATAAGGTACTTTTAAATTGAATTATACAATATGATTACTTTTTTTCAATTTTAATAAGAAAATCCTTATTTTAATATCAAGATGATAAGAAAGATAAAAAAATAACTCATTGGCTTTAAAGTTAGAATATAATTCCTTTATAGAGATGGTTTCGTTCAGGGATACTGTGTTATGGTCCCGGGATTGTGAATAATAATGTAACATTTTGCATTTTCGGAGACAACAAAGTTTCAAAGGAATAATGTATAAAAATACAGGAATATAAAGGATATAATCTTAAGTCCCTAGAACCTAAAACTACTCTTTGGTGTTGTGTCTCACATATTTTTCCTAATATTAGTTACAGTTTCTAAACATTGGTAATATCTCATAAACGACATATAAATCGAAAGTAAAAGTTGTAATATTTTAATTTTTAAATATCAAATAATATCTACTATAAGTTTATATGAAAACACATTCTAATTTATAACGTTGGTATACTTATAACATTCTTTAACGAATCACTTTGAAATTGGGTCTTAATTCTTAAAATAACCGTTAAAAACTGACTGGTTATTATTTGGCACTAAACTTGGATACTCTAAGAATTTAAATTAGTGGCTAGATGAAGGTCCAGGTATAGCATCTTCTGTTGATTTCCATCGACTTTCAAGTGCATTTTTACTTTTGTATTCCCTATTGCTTACATTTTGATGACTGTATCTACGATGTTCATCGTAGCCGCCGTCCGATATGTGAAATACGCTGTCAGCGCTTGTTTTTCTTTTGCTATTTAAAGTTATTAAACTTGAAGCCGCTGGTGATATTCTATGGGGAAACCTTGGGGAACCTTTAAACTTTTCACATGAATTTTGATGAGACATAGGTTGTTTATGTGTTGCTGGAAGTACAAAATTTACCTTTGTTTCAGGCTCAGCTATATATTTTTGAGGACCTGAAGAAATACTATTATTCGAAGTGTATTTGGAGCAACTTGCATCATCATCCGTTATTCGTATTATAGGTCCGCTTTTGGCATACGATTCTCTTCTCAATTTTAGTTCTGGATGTGGTACATGTAATGTATTACAAGATAGTACCATGGAATGTTTCCTATTACCGGGAACCAGACCAGCAATCATGCCTACATGCATCTTTAAAGCAGCAGCAATGCTTTGTCCAGTCGGATCTGCTATGGACATTGTGGACGCTTTACGACTTGAAGATCTGCTTCCAAAGAAACTTTTAATTCTACTCAACCATCCTTGATTTTCCTCACGTCTATTCAGGCAAAGATTATATAAATCTATAGCTGGATGAGATTTACGGTTGAGTTTGGGTTGTGAGCTAAAACTGACAGATGTTCTCCTACAAGTATCAGATGGCCAACTGGCGCGTGGTATGACGGGTGGAAGAACTGACAGCAACAGAACAGGCAGACCGCCAGTCACGCTTGGAGTGCGAGTTGAAGCTGGACGTACTTCTTCTTCCTCAACTGGGTTCAGTTCCGACTGGTGATCAAAATTGTATAATTTAATAGAAAAATTAAATATGTGTTATTATGACTTTAATGAATTTTTTTATCCTAATTGCTTTGAAAACCTGTAAATCTAATATGTAAACTACAAATGGAATAAAAACGAATTCTTGCTATGTTTACAAGAAATATGAAAATTTAATAAATTGAAGACTGTATAAAGTTTCTTTATGTGAACTTACTCTCTTATGTAATAAAGCTGATGTATTAGACCCAGTAGATAATTCTAAAGGTTCCGCGAGTAATTTTTCAAGCCTTCCAATTTCTCGGTCCAAAGCTGCCACTTCCCTTTTATAAACTTTGTTTTGTATTTCTATTCTGAAGTGTAATTCTTGTGTTTCATCTGTCACAAATCGTCTTGTTTTACACTCTAGTCTCAATCCCATGCTCTGTATTACAGGATCATCTTCAGCTGAAACATTGTTAGTTAGTCTTTTGTTGTAATTCTAAAACGTATTATAAGAATATTTAATGAAAGTCACCTTTTCTTCGAATTGCTATAATTTTAGGCAAAAAAAGTAGGCATAAAGTAGAAGTCGTAGCTATGAGTATCAAACTAGTTATTGTTATGTAAGCCAAAGTAGCCCTTTCTGAGATAATAGTACCAATGACTACCACGCTAGCACTTGTAATCACAACGGAATATACACTTATGCCGATGTACTTAGAGTCATTTAGGGCTGATATTTCAACGTTTCGTGTCTCCCATGCCATGTACACCCCAACTATAAGCAGCAGGCCCTTGTAAGCATAAAGAGCACATAACCAACCTGTCGTGTTTTGTGATTTACAAACCTCTATCTGTAAAAATAAGGTAGAAATTTTAAATTAACAATACATTTTACATTAAAAAATAATTTTATATTTAATATCACACCATACCAAGCATCATTAAATGTAATTTTATATTATTATATTTACCTGGGGTTGATATACTACACTACGATCTGTTGTACTAATTTCAACAGTCAAGTTCTTCAAGTGACGTTCCATAGGATCCACGATAGCCCACAAAGTTACGATTAAACCGTCAATAACGAGAAGAGCGCAAACTAATGATATGAGAGGAGTATCTTGGAGCAATTTAGTTTTGCACACTCCGCTTCTGTTACTGGAAGGATATAGTAAGGTAATGAGATCTAAGACTTTCGCGAGTATTAATTTAAATAAAACTAATGTTTTCGGATTACTACGCGTATTTTATTATTTTTTTAAAATACATACGCCTGAAGTTTCACTTTTTTCGCAGTAGTAACCTTGATTACGAGCAGACGAGATGTCTTTTGTCATTAAAATTGTGTTTAAAATAAAAAAAATACGTACAGTAAGGTATTAATAAAAATCCTTCAGTTGTGATTTTTCATATAAAAACTTGATACGAGTATATTGGATTATTTTTACCTGATGAATATTCGATGGACGCGATATGTTTTGGCAAACATGGATCCAAACGCCAATGAAAATCCGGCAGACAGTATGTATACTCGACTCTGAAATATAAATAAGACAAACACTAACACAGGAAACAAATATTAGTTTTTAAAAATAAACTTTTAATTATTTTTCGATTAAATATTACATACAACTTTAACTATAAACTCCCCACGATCTATTCCATATTATAACATATTGTATTTTATTTCACGTTGATATATAAAAATAAATTGATAAATTATTTTATATTTATAAATTCTGCTATCAATTAGGATAATTGTCCTTGGTAACCATATTCATTAATAATTAACAGAAGACTAATGATGTTGTCCGGGACTATTGGCTTAATGTAATTTTGTTGCTGTTTAATTATGCAACATACAGATTGTAGTTTATTTTGAATTTATTTAAACATTTTCTATGTAATTAATGTTATTTTTAGAACAAGCAATTCAGAAGAAACAAAGAAAATATCATGATTACTTAAATTCTTTTTCTTAATAACAATCTGTATTTAAATCATAGTAAATGAAACTATTTAAATAACCTCTATTTTATAAGTGATACTAGAAGACCCTTATTTGTTTTATTGATATGGTTACTTTATATTTCGAAAATAAAAAACTGAATTGCTGTTATAGTTTGATAAAAACAATCAAATGTTGAATGATTTATATATTCCGAAAGGTTTACTGTGTTTCTATATTTTTTTAAATTGCACTTCAATGTAAGAAAATATTATTAAAGAAAATGGTTTACAAAATATTTTACTATTTAAAAAAAATGTTTCTCATTGTCATGGAGTTAAAATTCAGAATGTTACATTCAGCTTCAAAAAATCGGTTAAAAATATTATGAGTTTAAAGCTATAATGTGTACTCACAGTGCATAAGGCGGAGAATGGCACATATGAGGGTAGAATCGCATTATCGACTCCTAGTAGAGCAACCGCTGTGTACACTAACACGCATCCGATCAACGTCATATTGTTCAGACGAGGCGACGATAGCTTTATAAATCTTAATGAATCATAAAAATAAATATTTACATTACAAAAACATTACATTTAATATCCACGTTTTAATATCAATCGTTCAGTTTTGTCATACTTTTCATATGACAAGTGTCATACTTTTCAAACTCAAATGACAAGTGTCACTCCGACATTTGACGTTACAAAATATATTGTGATTGAAAATCTATGCAATCGATTTACACAATAAATTATCGATTCTTACATATAATTGAAATATATACATATTTTTTTATTTATATGATATACATATATTGCATGAATGAAAATGTATATTACGCACCTTCGTTTACTGTAATGTAAATTAAATGCCAAAAATGCCAGTGACAGTGCCACGCCCGCGGCCGACATGGTAGCCACCGCTAGCCTGGCTGGCGCCCAAACAGAATCGACCCTCAAGACCAGAACTCTTCTTGCTGCTGGTATTCCTCCAGCCCATTGTGGCTTCGTACATTCCGAGCAAGTCATTTCATGCCCATGACTATACAACGCCACAGTTTTTGGCCGTCCTCCTTGTAAGCAATATTTGATTCAATTACAGATTCCAATATAAAGCTAATTGAAAGAAAGTAATTTCCACTTTCATATAATGTACGAAAAACTTTCCATTCTCATTAAGATTTAATATTTTATGCTGAGGGATATTAATCTTATCATAATCTATTCGGACTTAATAGTGTGGAAGAATTATATTAAAACGTTAGCTAGATGTTGATGCCTCATCATATCGTTAATGAGTTTTTCGTCTATCAAAAATAATTTTATTTACATATAAATAGTATGTTCTGATAAATGTAAACACACAAAAAGACAATCAGTACATAAGTTTTTAAAGATATAATATATATAGGTTTAAAGTTATATTCTTAAAGAGTTATAACATACTAAAGGTATTATTTTATAAACAGCATGCAGAATATTCAGGTTCTTTGTTTGATGAAATTGTGTGTGGGCATATATAAAACAAAAAGGTCTACGACGATGATGGAATTAATTACCTTGTATCTGGTAGAAGGCGGACATGCCTATCCGATCCGCTCCATTAAACGAGACGGGTCCCTGGAAAATAAACTGAAATAAGTGGTCAGAACGCCCTTCGTTTTTTAATTTGCAGAAGCGAGATCTGGCCCAGACATTATTCATATGGGTAGACTAATTTTCATTTGAATAAGTAAATCATTGTTTGTTTTACATAATATAATTTTTGTACAAAAATATTTGTTTTATTTTATATGTCAATATTTTACATAATAAAGAGTTTTAGATAGCCATAATTTGTTCTATTATTTCTTAGCCCTTTAGAGATTATTTGTGTTTTTTTTTTAATTTCATATATATTATTGTTTTGAGTTACAGTTTCAATAACGCATTTCTATAAGCCAATCAGCAAAATATTTGAAGAAACGCCGTAGGAATAATTATCAAAAGGTCGGTTCATAATCTACTAAACGAAGGAGAATTTGATTAGAAAAAAGCAGTTTTAAAATTGTTAACTTGTTTTTCTGGAGTAGTAAGTGCAAGCATTTAATTAAGTAATATCCTATATTTATAATTGTAAATGCTTTTCCCTTGTTTAATTTTATTAAAACATTCAATTATTTGTTATCAAATATACTCACTGATACACCAAGGAAACTGAGATTTGCGAATTGGTTGAGAAATTCCATCGCCATATCCTTTCTATCGTAATCAAAATGTCGTAATTCTAATTTGTTTCCATCTGTCTGTGGGTTCTTCCATAACTGTTCAGCTCTGCTCAATGCGAGTGCCATCGCCCACACAGCATCATATGTGTGAGGTGCGTACGGCGATATTGTTCCACCCGCCATTTCCATTTCCCGATAAAACATTTCATTCGTCTAAATAATTAATATGGACTTAATAGTGTAAGTTATTTTAAGTGTATAAATTGTATTGTATGAACAATTAATAGTACATTTTGTATAAAAACAGTGATATTAAAGAGTAATGAATTTGTAAGTACTATTGCTATCTTATTTAATTTTGAAAAAATAAATTTCTTTCCACAACTTTCCATCACCATGCTATTAAGAGTATTCAGATTTTCAATCATAAAACTTTGCATTGTATCCATTTTGACTATAAACAAAAACTGAACACTACCCACGATTTAAACTTGTACTTAGGTTAGTGTAGAACTAGTAATATAACAATAATTCCACTGAACGACTTACAAGTCCTGAATATGACACAACATCTCCAAGTATTCCTCGGTGCGATGTGACTGACACCAATCCTTCCAATGCTCGTGCGAGATGAGCTCGTGAACAAGGTGCCACTCCACGGATACGAGGAGGTGCCCCAGCTACTAGCCAGGCGTACTCCGCTCCAAACATACCCAGCCGGTAAGCCTGTGACTCAAAATAACCACATATAAATACACACATTAATAATCATATAACATAAAATCTCTAGAATACTTTTTATGATTACTGTATAATTTCTCATAAACTTTTTGTCAATCACAAAATCTTCAAAAACTTTAGCTTACACAGGATTTGTGTTATAAAAAGTTTTAAGTCCCCTAAGTTATTTTAGAGATGTTGATTTTATAAGCAGATATATTAACACTAAGCTTTTTAGCAAGATTATTAAGAAATTTTAGTGTAACAGGTTTCGCTTACTTTATTCTATATTGACTTTGTAATATTTTTTTCAGCTGAATATACATTCTGGCTTCGTATTTTATATAATGTTATAATCTTGGAAGGTAAATATGGTCATCCAACCCAGCATGTACAAGCATTCAAAGGGACTATTGATATTAGAATTAATTCCCGGGTAAAGGTTTGCTCTAAACGTTCGTTAGGTGTTGTTTACGAAGACAGTTTTGATTGCGTAGTGACAAAATGAAATGAAAAAGAATTTACACTTTAAGCAAATATTTTGCAATGTTTTTGTTTTAAAGATGCTTTAGGTTTATTTTTCATTTATTTGATACTTGAAAAATATTTTGTAAATTTGTCACGGTTTAAGAAATTCTAATGAAGTCACTAGAAAGACGTCAAGGAAAACAAAAAATTATCGACTTATGTCTTTTATAATATCTACTAGTAAACCCGGCGAACTCCGTTTCGCCACCAGAAGGCTTTTCTATAACACTTCGTTTGGTGATTAAAAGATGAAGAATTTTTTTTGTTTCATATTGAAAAGGAAAATTTTTATTTCATTTCACAACAGTAATGAATTCATTTCGATTACAAAAATGAAGTGTTATTTAGTTGAATTTCTCTAAGTAAATGGAAGTGAATCCAAAGTAGATACCGAATCGAAGCGTTATACGTGTCCGCAAATTATCCGTTTCATTGAAGTGGTCCTCTGTAAACCACATTTTTTGTTTTTTGGTCTAACTTTAACACAAATAAAGCGTATGGTTTCCAAACTTATGAACCCGCAAAATATAACTGCCCATGTGAAAAACAATGATTTTCTAAATTTATCCCGCAAATACTAAATGGTTTTAAGAGTTCAAACTACAAACACAATACCGGTTTGTCACATGAAATTAACTGAGAAGAGAACAATGAGTAGCTGTCAAACAATGTATCATGCGACGGCACAATCTACTTAAAAATACTTAATATTGATTTGTAGTACATGTTATGTATGATGGCGCTGTATGTGACAAAAGATTTTTCCCCCTTTTCTTGGTTCTTTCGTTCTGAAGTTATAGCGTCAGGATGGAAAACCGGACTTATTTTTATATAGAAGATTTCTTACAAATATAAAATTCTCATCATTACATTACATATCTGTCATTATACGTCATCATTATATATCTGTCATTATACGTCAATTGCATAGCTGTCAATTGTGTTTCGTTATTCCACGTTTTATAGTGACTGACGTTTCATGTCAAGTCCCACGGGAATGCTGTCGAACGGGATAAAAAGTATCCTATTGCAATTTCCTGGTTCTAAACTACTTCCCTGCCAATTTTCAGCTAAATCGGTTCAGCCGTTCTTGGGTTATAAGTGGAGTCACTGACACGACTTTCTTTTATATATATAAGATGCAAAAGGTTATTCAATATTAACATGAAGATATTACGCTATCTGATGGAATTATAAAACTGTGAATCTTTGTATTATCATAGTTTCTGTTAAATTCATAAGATATGATGAAAGTACAAGAAGTGAAATATTCTCAAGTAAGAGAAATGAAAATTTCAAACGACTGCTGAAAGCTTTTGTAAATAAAAATGACGTTATTTATCTACGCTTGCACCTTTGAATTATGATTTTCAGAGCACCGTGCCATAATATAATACTTTGCATATTTTTCTTGCACTTTTCTGCTCATTAATGAAGTATCTAGCTTTAACTTAACTTTTATCACCATAAATGTTGCGATATTTTACTTTTAAGATGAATGATTTTTTTCTTATGAATTCAAACGTCATCACAGCAAAGAATTGACTTATTCAGATATTTATTTTTATTATTGATTTCCTTTCTTTTTTTATTATAAATAATGCTATTTATACTTGTGATATCTGTTCACCGAAATACAACAAATGTTCAAGTATCATATATCAAACTTATTAATTTAATATACACTGAATATATTCACCTCGCAAAATATTTTTGGTATCATCTCCCGAGAGAAACTGCCTATAATAATCCGCGTATCGAGCTTCTGCAAGTAAAAAGAAAAAAAGGAATTGATTAATATCCAATAGCGTTTTCTTTCTCGCTATAGGTACGTTGGAGCCTGATGATCTCGTTTCGTGATTGAAGTACGTCCTCAGACGTTTTAAGGCGGAAATTAAAATGGCCTAGCTAAGTGTTAGGTCTCACAAAAAATGTAATTAATGTTTGAGGAAAAGCAATAACGACGGTTCCTGTATACGTCTTAATGATCTCATTTTCATTTACTTTTTCATGACTCAATAATAAAAAGGAAACAAAATAATAATTAACTTCAAATTATTTCAGGCTTGTCTGTTTTTTTTTTTGAAGTAGAAAATAATGATTTGTTTAGTAGTGCTTAATTGGCAAATCAAGCTTTGTTGTAATTGAACTGAAATATGTGATATAAATGCACAGATTAACAATTTAGAAAAAAGTCGAGAATAATTCATTTTGGTATTTTATTCTTGAATATGCAGGAATATCGGCTTAAAATAAGTTGAAGATTTTTGATGAAATAAACATCTTACAAAAGATTATTTAAGTGAACCCTATCTGTTACAATCTCAACATCATTATTATGGATAGGTAACCTTAAGTTGTTGTAGCTGTTCCTTGAAATCTGATTCGGCGAACGTAATAGATGCTGCACATGTAATATTGGCTGCTTCCAGTTGAGTTACCAGCTCATTGACGGCCAACGAGTAAACCTCTTCGTTCTGCGAGAATGCGGTCACAGTGTCCCAGCCAAATTGCCTGTTTGTCCAAATTTGACGTACATTATAATTTAATTACGTTTATGGATGTATTTTTTTAAAATCATTTTATCTAATAATATTGAAATAGCAATAAAGAAGTCGCTAGGAATGTGTTCGAGTAGATTGTATTTTTAGTTTTTTTTCAATATCCATATAGCGTACATAAAAACAATTTTTAAAGTTGATATCAAAAGACATGGTATCCGATAAACAAGTAAACCACACTTAAAATTAGTTGAGAAAGTTATTATTACATTCAATGCAAATATTCAAATCATTGTAATCAATCTATCCTTCATTCTGTATTTAGTAAGCGTCTTCAATATTGAATATGTAAGAGAGAGCCTGGTGTAGGTATTCATCTAAATATTTAAACAAATGTTAATATTCTACGATAATCAGATACGCGATGGTAAAGTTTTAGACGGTACACTGTTGTTTCTTGTATACTTAATAGTTAGCAATAAACTATAAGCGTAAGAACATAATACGTACGACTCGAGTTGAAAACTTTTAACACTCTACGTCACTGTTGTGAAACTACTTAGTATATTTTGATATGTTTGTCTTCGTAACAAATAAAATTAGTTCGAGAAAATGTAGGGCTGTGTTGAAAATGTGAGAAAATATTAAATACAATAAACCTTTACAAAAAATATGTTTCCCTTGTTTTATTTGATTGTTCATCTTTTTGATTATATAAGAAATGTTCTTAAGTACATTAATTAGTATGAAATATTACCTTATAAAAGCTATTCGGGCTGGATTGTGAGACGAGTCCGGGGCGACTGTTCTACAAAAGAGTGGAAATTCTGAACGATCACTGAGAGCTGGGGATGTTGAACCGAAAGATACCTGTTGAAAGACGTACTTGATATATTAAAAATAACAGTATTCTGTAAAGATAAATTTAATTAAAGAATACTTAATACAGTGTAAATAACTTTTTTGAAACACATTTTACTCATTGAACTAATAACTCTTTAAATAAGAACTCTAATCAACATATATGTAAGAAAATAACATTAAATATGGAAATACCTTGTTTCTTAGTTAACGTAAATTATATTTCTTAAGTAAAATTTATGTGATATATTTTATTAAAATCTCTCTTCAATAAGAATATTAATTATTGTGTATTAACACGGAGTAATTAGGTTTCATTTACATTAAATTGAATCTCATTCAGTAAAATTAATATATAAGTTATTAATTTATAAATGGTCGAAGTATATTAATAAAATATAAAATTTTGTAGATATCTATTGACAACTATAATTTATACTTAAAAAGTAAAATGAATTATTTTTTTTTATGTTAAAATGTTGCTTTTTCATTAATTATACAACATATTAAAATTTTATTAATAAGACTTAGTAGATGGAGAAATAATTATAAAAATATTTCCACACCAATTTGTAAACCAAATGGAAAATATTATATCCGTTGCTGACATCCCTAAAAGTTTGTAACTGAGAATGTAACTCAAGATAATGATAAATAAATATGTTTATTATAACATTATAATAAACTTTTTACATGAAATTAATAATATTTGTTTTTTTATTATTAGTTATTACGTAAATTAATGTCCTTATTTTTCGTTAAATATAGATATATGAGTATCTCACAGTAATTCTCATAATATTGAATTATTGTGTAAATCATATAAAGAAAGTATAGAGGTTGATAAAAATTAAAAAATATATGGATTTCACGCTTATCTATCTGTCCATCATAAAGTCCCTAATTGGAGTTTTAGTCCCTTTTTTTATTTTTTAAGTAACAGGAATAGACTTGTCAAAATTGTATATGTACAGATTCTTTTACCAAGTAACTTCTAGTTTCAATGATAACAATAAAAGACTATTTCTACTATTCCATAAAAGTAAAGATAACAAAGTTTTCAAGTATTCTTTATTATTAAATAACAGCAATGAATCTCTTAGGTGCAAGAAATTATATTTCGGTAATTTACAATTAAACTACAATACATAATTAAGAGATTTTTCTGTTTCACACTTTTATTCGGAGTAAAAATTAACATTACTTTTTATGCTCTAGTCACGAAAATTTATTTTATTTTATTTTATTGTGACTATAGTTTATATAAGAAAAACGGTAATTTATACAACATCAAAATTGCAACAAATTTTTGAAATACCTTTCAGAAATAAAAATATTTCCTTGCCCACTTTTATTCACATAACCCATGCATTTGTTATATACAATAAATGTATTCATTTTTATTGTTTGCCAGCGGTCTAAGTAATTTTATTGTAACATATCTAACCTGAACAATGTTCCAATAAGGAACTATTTTTGCAATGCTCTCGGTGACTTCAGAACAGGCGGTGCCAAGCAACATGATGAGACGAGATTCTCTCTCAGTGTAGAGGGCGTGAAAAAATCTGTCCACTCCAACACCCGGATCACACTGTGTACCAAGAAGTTTTAATAATTAGTTTTGAGTCTTAATAGAAACAAGTTTTAATATCACAATTATGCTGACTAAGTCTTTAAGTAGATTCTTACTTTTGTTTTTCATAAAGTATAAGAACAACTAAATCTGTCTACAAACCACATTCTATAAAACACTAATTATTATTACTATAAATAATTCTTAATGTCTTCAATTGAGACACTTGCGAGTCTTAGTATTAGGAATAAAACCCTAAAATATTGTAAATCTTGTTGATTTTAGTTTCAATAGACAGTTCGAGGCGAGTTATAGAATGCGTTTTAGACAAAGAAAAGATTATGTTGTAATTATGTGTTGGGGTAGTATTAGAAAAAATGTAAAGGGTTGCGCCTGTGTAAATAACATGGTTGACGGTTGTTGACATCATTGCTCTATGAATTGTAGCAGGAGCCGCGACACTTAACATTATTTGGAAAATATTTTGTTTTAATAATCAGGAAAATCAATTAAAATAATATAGAGTTTGCTTTAACTATTATATACTATCTCATTAAAATTAATATTAACTTTATCTATAAAGGGAGGAAAATGTCAGAAAATTGGTAAAGTACTGTAAATAATAAGGACATTTCAGTATATTACCTTGGTATCGTTAGTTAACAAGTGTAGTTCGTAGCCAGGCAGTAAAGCTCGCTGGTTGACATGGTGTATTGCCAGTTTAGCTGCTGCTAGCTCCGATATTCCTTCAGCTCGTGGATAGTTTCCAACCGATAGTTCAAATAGACCCAGTATTGAGATTATATGGTTTGTTTTCCTTTGAAGATCTATTACATAAAAAGATTTTTTTATATTTGTTGTATTACGATATTGATATTATTTTAAAAAGTCGTTAAAGCAAAATAATATTTCTGTATAACAGTAGTCAGCTTCCGTAAACAATGAATCTAAAGCAATTGACTCGTTTTGTTTGTGATTTGAATCAAGGAACAATTCTTTTATTATTGTTTTTATTTCATAAAGGTGTGTTACTATGAATGCTTTTTTGAATCACTTCATAAAAGAAAGAATATTTAGCAAAACAATAGTAACGGTTTTGGTATGTAATTGATATCATTTAACTTATTTGCATCCTTTGAAATTGGAAATGACTGTTACCTATTTAAATTATGTGTTTGGTTACGTAAAACTTTGGTTTTTATAAAATAAAATGCCTTCTTTTGCAAATTTGTACTTAAACTTAGTCAAGAGAGTAAAATTAATATTTTTTACTAATAACAAAAGTAATGGAATAATTCCATTCAGGAGATAAATTGAAAGCAATAAGCGTTCGAATTGTGAACCTAATTTCGTGATTTTCCTGAAAGTCTTTAATCTATTTCCTTTTCAATAAAATAAAAGCCTGGGCGAGGGTGAGGGTAGTATTAGGAAGCAGCGACTGTTTTAAACTAATTTACTGTACAATTCTACAGAGATTTAGGATAGCTGTAGTAGAGAGAGAGCTCTTTGAAGAAATAAATAAAAAAGTGGAATTTACGCCTTGATTGACAATAATAAACGATTTAAGGTTCCTTACAGAAATAATTCTATTTTACTAAGATGTATTAAATATAAATAAATATTGTTATTTGTGTCTGTTTTAATAGCAAATAAGATAGGGTTATATTGTATCGACAAGTTAACTTTATAGTAATATATTCTTCGACCGTCTATTTCAAAAGACTGACTAGCCTCGTTAGTTGATATTTTAATTTAATAGCTAGTATCGATACGGTTTTAGACTTGTGGCTAACATCGGTTTACCATTCTAAGAGAGTCAGATCTCCTAAACGCTTAACGCGTCTCAGTATAATAATTAAATAACAATTAATATGTAGAGGTTTTTTTAAGCAAATTTAATTTTTAGATATCGTTATATCTATCATCTACGATTTTATGAAACTTTTATATTACTTACTTAGTCTTTTATTACTTATTTTACTTTGATTTATGTATAAATTATATAAATGGTGCCAATAATTTGATACCAAATACTTATTTACTTCGAAAGAACGGTCCTTATTCAGGTTTCTTGAGGGAAGTTTCTCATTAATAGAATCTGTCCAATTCAGTTTAAGACTGTGTTTAAATAGAATAGCAGAATATATCAAGGCTTTGGAACTCCTAGTTAGTAACTGTTAAACTTTGTTTAGTGAAGCAGTTATTTTGTTCAATATTTATGGGTTAAAATAAGTAATTCTTGAGTATGGGGCTATCAGCTTTAATAACGGATGCGACATGAAAATAATTTGAGGCTGTCATCAATTCTTATTAAAACTCATTAGTATTCATGATTATTGTTAAAAGTAAAACGAAATCAAATATTGTTTAAAAGAAGAACAGAACTAGGTTTAAATCTTGGTATAAATATGACATCTGGACGCTCGACGGCAGACTTCAGAATTCAGAGTTCAGTGAGTGCATATCATTGTAGTATGTGATTATGAAGAACCTTCGAGAAATACAGGAGCATTAAGAACAATTGAAGTTTCATTTTAAAATATCATGGAACGCTCTATAAGTGACATTAGTGACGTCAGCGAGGCTGGCTGGAGAGGGATCTCTTTAAAAACAACGAAATGCGTAATAAATCCGATATATGTATATTTAAATAGACAGACTTAAATTCAGAAATTGTTCCTTTTTCATGACGCGTGTAATGCTGGAGTTCGGTGACAAATCGACGTAGCTAGATATAGTTTTAAAAAATCGTCTACGATTGATTGTAAGGTAAAGCAATGCAAATAAATTTTTAAACAAAAAATAATTGAATTTTAAGGCAAAGGAAGGAATAAGAGACACTATTATTCAAAAATCAATATCACTACTATCAAAATATCACCAATGTTACCACATACTCAAATAGTGTTTTTACAAATTATGAAAAAAAAAATCGGCGTTGCAAAATCATTTTCTTGTATTTACATTGTTTTCACAAACAATATCGATAGTAGTCATTATTGGGTATTTTAATTAGATTTCTAATTAGACTTTAGTTTCAAATATATTTTACAAATTTTGACTCTCAGAAGGAACCGAATCGGAACAAAGTTTAATTACATTCAACAAATTTTAATTAACTTTCATCATTCTTTACTTTGATTGCTCTTAAAGTGGTTTCCATGATGTTATGGGCTCGAGATGATACGGTTTTGTTTAAAATATACGAGGAAATGTTTGGAGAACGTGTTTTGCTTACGAGTATATATGTATATAATTGCATAGGAAAAATTCCAAAAGAATTATAAGAACTTTTAATTTGATCAACATCCACAGTCTCATACTCGTTAATGTGATTATAATTTTTCAAGAACACGTACGTTAATGTGTATGTGGATAGTTAAAAGGTGCTTCGTAAATATCTACATATTTGAGTAAGCAATGTGGTTATTTATTAATATGGTATAGGCAAGTATTTTGAAACTAATTTGATTAGAACAATTTTGAAATATTGTTAGCTGTAGATACATTGGACTAATTTTATTATAATAATTTGAGGAACAAACAATAAACGCTTCTTAAAAATATAAACTTTAACGAATTAAGGTATTTACCTTTTATGATAAATAATATAAGTAATCTCTTTTCGTACTTTTGATAGTGTTAAAAAGTTATAAGTATACTTTTCAGGTTTATTTCAATTTATAAAGTTGGCATTTCTTTCCATTTACATAACTATTCTCGATAGTATGTTAGTATAAACTACTTACTCTATATTTTAGCTGCATTAACATGAAATCATTATTGGTTCTTGTTTCAACTTCCTTATGAAAATTTTGTTAAGATAGTACAAGTCCTCTTGTCTGCTTCACTTGGTTATTATGGAGAAGTTTGGAACATTTTCACAGTGTATAATACTTAAGATAGTAATAAACATTAAAGTTTTGCCAATACCAATAAATACTTTGGTCCATAACTATTTATTGATATTAGTAAATAGAATTAACTTTGATAATAAAACCTTACAATAACATTTACTTAAGCAAAATTATTGTTTAAATTCATTTGTTTCTATTGAGTATTTTAATCTATTTCTCTGGCAGTATTTTTGTATCTTTATATTAAAAGAAAGGCTTTATTTACTTTTCAAGATAATTGACTTACAATACTTACAGTTATATATCATTACTTTTGTTTACAAAATAAGTAATAAGTTTACTTTCGTTTATTGTGAATAATCTATTGATTTCTCAATGAATGAATGTCTTGAGTTAGACGTTATACATTTTGTACACGTATCTTCTTGTAAAGGTTAGGGTTGAAAGACGGTTTCGCATTGAGATTAGTTTGAAACTTGATTATAGTTCTTTACAAAGATTTAATTAATTTGTGTATACTTTGAAGCTTTATTAGTAAGATATATATTCAGGAGTTTTCTTAATTTCAACTCTCTTTGTATAATATTTTTTATATCTTAGAATATATTGGAAGAAACTTAATTCATTGAATTCAATTATGTCTAACGTTTTCGAATGTATACATTTTAATGGATTTTTGGGTAAACTATATTTTTTTTACTTTATATTTAATTAAGTACATTTAAACGAAAGTAATATTTTTTGATTTACTACGCGATTTTTTATTTTTTACTATAAACTACATACTCCCGACGTTTCTACTTTACAGTAATCGTGATCGCGGGCAGACGAGATGTAAGTGTATTTAATTTTATTTGACGTTTCAGTTATTTTACATCAATCCTGTTCACAGGCTAACAAGATGAAAGACTTTGTCAGTTATTTATTTTTATCGCATATATTTTGTTGTTAGAATTGGCTTACGTTTTATGTGGTTAATATATTTTCAGTTACTCCCTTCATATATTGTAATATGGCATAAGTGTGAGAACCATTGCTTCATTAATAATTGTTAATTCCTTGATTTATTAATTTATATTAATACTGAACATATATATTTATCCCCTTTTCAACACGTGAATAAAGTTACGATCCCCAAACATTATATAACTATAACGTATGTGGAATTAGATCATTGTCAATTATGTTCTTAATTCGCTAATAGTAAATAACACGACATAAAAAGAAAACTCTTATACAAAGATACTTACTGTTGGCTAAGTCGTTTTTTATGGGTTGGGTGTTTTTAATTGAAGGTTCGGGACGGTCTTTGGAAAGTATAATTGAGCTATTTGTTGCAGAATCTTGAAAGGAATTGGTTTTATCATTATTGAAATGTTTCAGTTTCTTTTCTGTTACATTATTACTTTGTCTGACGAGACTTCTATTGAGTGTTGTTGCGTAATCATAGAAGAGTTTTGTCTGTGTTTCTTTATCAATTTTAAGTTTTCCCATAGTTTCGTTTCTTAATTCTTCAACCTTTGAATTCTGCTCTTTCAAATTATCTTTTATACTTACTATACTTTTCTTTGTATTCGAAACATTATCAGATTTAAATTGATTTAATAAATTACTATTGCCCATTCTTGATTCATCCGAATACATGTTCGTAAAAATATTATTATCAATTGTAAAATTATTATATTCTGATTTAGGCGTAAATTCAATAAAGCTATGTGATTTCCGTTTTCTCCTGAATCTATTAAGTAACTCCTGATATTTGCTTACGTTTAGATTATTACCATTACTTAAATAAGAATTTTGTTCAGCAGCATCATAATACTTAAAATCATTGATAATTTCAATTGTTGTATTATAATTAAAACGTTTGGATATATTGCTTTCATTACTTTTATGTGCTGTAATATTGTAATTTACCATCTGTATGGGAGTTAGTAATATGTTGAGGATTAAATGGAGGGTAAGGAGGATTTGGGGTAAGTTAACGATGGATTCTAAAGGGGGTAAGCAGTGCAGTTGCAGTCGTCGTTGAAACCTCATGCCAGGCCGGCGGTCAGCGCCGACTATGCTGAAACAAATATATTAATTGGTTAACTAATACAATTTCGTAAAAGTAAATATATATTTCAAAATTTCCTTTTTTTTTATTATTTCTATTATTATTTTTTTGGATTTGTTATGTAATAAAATATAAATTGCGCCAAAAACTTTTTAAATATATTCTGAAATTGTAAGGTAAAAATTTGAAATGCGTTACTAAAGTTTTTTTTTTAAAGTTACTCCAAAGTTTTCACAATACAGTTACTTATTTGGTGTAAACTCGTTTGAAATTATGTAATTATTTTGCAGGACTAAACAAAAGCTTACATCTGAAGTTTTGGAAACAATAATTAATGTAAAAATTGATTTTTGGTACCTTTGAACATAAAATTTAAATTAGACGCTGGCATCTAACATATTATTTTCTAAATGTAGGTACAAGAGATTATTAAAATATCATAATTTTCATATATTAATTGAAAGTTAATTTTACTTAATTTTATATTATATTGCATGGTGAAAAATACAAGTTAGGTACATATATTTTTTTCCGTATTAATAAAATTATACAATTAAACCTATGTCTTAAACGAAGATTATGCTTTCAACCTTTACGTTTTTAATAATGACGATGGCGAAGTAAGTTCCATAATGTATGTAAGCTATTCTATCTCGTACAATTATACATAACAGGAATACTTAAAAGGCCACGCGACTCAGCATTTGAATACAGTGATGTTTCTATCTCAGAAAGAGTAAATATTGTTACAACACACTATACTAAATAAAAAGTGCCTCTATTATATTTAAATAAACTGTAAAAAGTCATACATTTCGCCACAAACCATCCTTTTACAAAAGAGGCTGTTTCAAACAGTTGTGGTTTTAAGAGTTTATTGTTTATTTTGTAGGTATCAAAAATTTTGACGATTGTTTTTAACATAAATACTAACTTTCTACATAGAGTTGTTTAAACTTTGATTAAAGTAACGTTTCTCTGTTAATTAATTTAATTAGAACTCTTTTGAATTTAAACCACCAAATGTACCTTACAGAATCATCGTACCTTGTGAATTCCTTTGAGAACAAAATAAAGCTATTGTCACATTATACTTAGAATTTTACTTATCTTCTATCTTCTATATATATAAAAATGGATTGCTGTTCCTTAGTCTCGCTAAAACTCGAGAATGGATGAACCGATTTGGCTAATTTTAGTCTTGAAATACTCCTGGAAGTCCAGGGAAGGTTTAAAAGGTGAGAAAAATTGATTCATTACTGGGAAAACCATAAAAACAGCCCTTTTCTATTTCCCATACAAAAGTTTTTTTTGACATTAGATTTGACAACTAACTAATATGTCAATTCTGTTTGATTGAAACAAGAAAAACCTGATTATTTATGGCCTGTAAGACGGAATAGAGTTCGACTGGTCAGCTACACCTACATATATTACTCTTGACCAAACTAACGCGGACGAAGTCGCGGGCAAAAACTAGTCTTCTATATATATATAAAAATGGATTGCTGTTCCTTAGTCTCGCTAAAACTCGAGAACGGCTAAGCCGATTTGGCTAATTTTAGTCTTGAAATACTCCTGGAAGTTCAGGAAAGGTTTAAAAGGTGAGAAAAATTGGAATAATTGCCGGAAAAACCCTAAAAACAGCCCTTTTCTATTTCCCATACAAACGTTTTTTTGACATTAGATTTGACAACTAACTAATATGTCAATCATTCTGTTTAATTGAAACAGGAGAAACCTGATTATTTATGGCCTCTCAGACGGAATAGAGTTCGCCCGGTCAGCTATACATATATTACTCTTGACCAAACTAAGGCGGACGAAGTCGCGGGCAAAAACTAGTTATTTATAATTTTAAAATTTTTCGAATTAGTCATGACATATCAGAAGTTGAAATTAAACATCACGATTCTAGTCATGATGGCGTAGTAGTTAAAGGCTTGCTTGAGGGCACGGGCTTGAAACGTGGCAAGTAACAATGTGATTATTCAGAATCATATGTAATTTCTAAGCGTATTTAGACACCACTGACAGATGGTGAAAGAAAAACATTGTGAGGAAATCTGACTTGTAATTTCAAATTTTAAGTTTATAATCGCTAACCCATTTTGAGTAAACGTGGTGATTAATGGTCAAATCTTCTACAAGTGAGAAGAGGCCTTTGCTCAGCAGTGGGCTCTGATAAGCTGATGATGAAAATAAAATCTTTTATCTATAGTCAAAGTCCAAAGTCATCGACTCTTTTCTTAGAGACAATTCCTCTTTAACAAGCTTCATATTAAATTTATATATTATTTTCAATTATTGTGAACTGGTTACTGGTTATTTTAGGAATATTAATGCAGGAGTCAAGGTGTTAAAGATTATTATCATCATTGTCATTATCATCATTAGGCTCGAGAGGCGGGCCTTTAAACATAAGGCCACCACTACTTTTATTTCGTCATAAAATTATAACATAAAAATTAAAAATAAATTACATATACTATAAATAAATATGAATCGGTTTTTTTTAATGAATAGTTCAACAAATAGGAACAGGATTTGTAGTTGCGGCTTTTGACACATTGTGGTCAGTCTTTTCCGATGAAATCCAATTTAGCCTGGGAGTTAAATTCCGTATTTGGCTGAAAATCTATTTAATCGTTGTTTTATATTTCGCTTTTGAATATATTTTGATTTTTGACACGATGTTGGAACATAATAATAGAAAAATTATGGTTTGTGGTTATGACAAATGATTGTTACGTATGCTAGCGGTGAAATTCTTTATGAGCGATGATCACTCATATTCAAGCGGAAAAAGCAAAACGAAATTTCTACATGATTGTGCCAAAGTAATTCTAAAGGTATTTTCTTTCATATTTTATTTTTCATTCATTCCTTTTACAAAATATGTAGCAAGATTCTGAAACATATGAATTTCGTATGCATTTAACTTGTATAACGAAATTTTGTAGAAAGATATAATAAATTTATTTGATTTATAATAGCGCCCAAGTTCATTTGATTTCAGAAACAGACAGAAAGAGAGACTAGATGTAGAAATAGAACGTTAAAATAATTATACACAGGCATATTTTTGTGCAGATGTTTTACAAATTTAATTGTAAGCTGCTTAAAGATATTGTTGATTAAACTTATAATACTGCAAAAAGTGTAAAGTAAAAATAAAATGTGGTTGAAATTTTTCAAATAGCCTCAGTACATTGAATTTTCACATTATTGCAAGCGAAAAAATACCAGTCATGTGAAACCTTATTTGAATTCAATACAATGAGTCGACTGCTACAATTTTAATAAGAACTTAGTTATTTCTAATTAAAACTTTTAGAATATCGTTTTTTTTAATTTTCTACAGCTTTATTAAAGTTAATTTCATTCACAAAATTAAATGATACGAAAGAGGTTTTTTTTAATGTGCTTAAAAAAATCTTTTTTCTAATTTTCAACCAGTTATTAAAATTATAACTACCATTTGCTAAAAAAATTATAGCTTCTATTTAGTATTGTTTAGTAGTGAAAAGTATTATGTAATTTTGAAGTTATTTATGGAACTTTTATTAACATAAATAAACGTAACATTTAATAAGTCTGGAATCTGGATACAATGTAATAATTTAGAGTCATTATAATAACATATTGGAAATTATTTTAAATGACCAATTTTTATATATCAGCAACTCATAATATTTGGCAAAGAAAGCGTTTTTGAAGCTTTTGTATAATACATAAAAATTAAGAAGTTTCTCCGAATCAAACACAAACTGCTGTTAAAATGTTCATTTCCTTAAATATGTAGTATGTAGGATAATGTATGACGCTTTGTCACGTTGGCGCTGTGAAATAAAGATAAAAAGTTATGATCCATCAATAATGGGTCATTCTAAGCAATCGAGATACACTTTTACAGACTGTCATAATCATATTTGGAACTGTCTTGCGTATTTTTATTGTTATATCTACTTTGTTAATATTCGTTCACAATCTACAAATATAAAATAGTAAGGTCAGTAGAATATGACAATTAACCAAAACATTTCATTGAATTATCAATAATATTTGTAGATAATATAAAGATCGTATTACGGTAAGAATATTTTTTATCACCAAAGAAATGATTTGGAATTAACTAAGAAATATTCCTTAGTTCAAACCCGACCTTTCAATTCTGCAGATTATAACCAATGCAAAGCTAGATAAAAGTGTGGGCACTTTCATAGCCTTCGAGTTATCATAAATGTAGACTAATTTTGTTATATATGTATTTAGAGGTCTCAAAACTGTTAGGTGAGAAATATAGATTTATGTTTGTAAATGTACCATTATTTACATTTTATACTTATATTAATAAAAAATAAAAATGTTTTCTGATATTTGTATACAGGTGTAAAAAAAATTATGTAACTAATTCTCCTTACAAGTGGACCTTACTGAAGTATTGTCCGTAGTAACAAGATTACTGATAGAGCTACAATCCCTTTTTAAAGATATACTATAATCAACATAGGATAAAATATAACTAAATTTTTGAATGTAGCTTGCAAAACCAACTGTAATGATCCAAATTCAACTGACGCCC